ACCTAGCATTTTGCTAACATTAGCTAGCTAACGTAAGATGTGACAATATATGTCGTGTTTATCTTTTAGCTATCTTTAGAATGTGGTTGTCTTTCCAGCATAGACGAGCCTAGCACGTAGCATATCTCAGCACGGGAAAGGTTCTGATCAATGGCTCAACTGCTATTGGAGTACAGAGTTAAAAGGGGCGGGACTTAGGAAGGTTCAATTCAAGACACTGACAGTTTAAAGTCCTTTACATTGGGCAAAGAAATTAGTCTACATCTAAAAAGATAATCTCAACCCCTCACACTATCTTCTCCTCCAGCTGGCCCGCTTAGTGGACCAGTAACGGGGCAGCGGTCTTCTGCAGGTTCAGACCACTGAGAGGTGAGAAGGGAGGGAGGCCTTCGTAGCCCAGCAGCTGACGCGTGGAGGATTCCCAGCTCAGCCCAAACTCCAGTCGGCTGTAGACACATGGGTACTGCCGGTCGGCCCAGCAGACCCAGTCCACCGCTCTTTTCAGCTCCTCCCACCGCTCAGGCCTAGAAGTAAAAGTCAGTAGTTACCAAAAGAGGTAGCCGCTCTGGGAACAGTGACAGCTAGGTTACAAAATCATCCAGAGAAACAGAGACAATTAGGATTGATCAATGCAGTGTTTTTAAATGACATTTTAAATCTACTGTAGGTGGTAACCCACATGTGATTCTAACTGAACCTCAGGCTCAGAAAGATTTGCTTCATCAACATAAGACATCATCACACTTGTCTTTGTCCCCACATGTCCTGGTGCGAACATTTCCACAAATACCAAAAAAGTGAACACGCCATCTTCATGTGGTTTTGTCTGATTTTTGGACTGACCTGGTCTGAGAGGAGTCGTCCAGGCAGAAGAGGGTGCGCAGCAGTTTGCCTTCCTCAAGCTTTTTCACCCTCATCAGCTGCAGAACCAGAAGTGTCGCCACCAGCTTTAGGATGTCTGCATGGGCCCTCGCACCTACACCATACACACACATGCACACACACACAGGGGATCACAGTTATAACGGTACAGTACAGCTGTAACGATTGGTCCATACATGGTTGATCAATTACTAAATTACTCTTTCTGTCCCCACTGTATATTCCCAATCTTACAGTCCCAGAAAGATTGGTTCAAAATGATCTGAAATGCAAAAGATATTAAAACTGAAGGCCTGAAACTGATTTTAGGAGTTCTCACCTAGAGAACTGATGCCCTTGCTTTTCAGGAACACGTTGGCAAAGAGATCTACATCGACATTTATTAATTCTCCCAGCTCTGTGGTTAACTCCCAGTAGCCCTCCTGCAACACACAGATCAAAAGAAAATTCAATTCCTATGCAAAGTGGCAGCAAAACATTAATGTCCGACTTCCCTCAGGACTGCCAGTATGAGCATGCATGTTATAGTCAAGGACAGTGCAACCTTAAAATAAAACAAACAAAAAACAGTAGTGCAAGTTGTTTTGGACAACAGTATCCACTAAATCAGTAGTTCCCAACCTGGAGGACAGGACCCCCACGTGGGGTCACCAAAGCTTCATGTAGTTGGGATTTTAAGGGTTGTAAGAAAACTTCAAAAATACACACAGTAAGCCTATACCTCAGCTTTGTATTCATTTCTGTGAAAAAATGCAATTTCTGATGATCTGATATTTATTTTAGTTGTTTTTTTTATTTGAGATCTAAACTTTGAAGACCTGAACACAAGTGTTTGTACAGTCTGTCAGTTGTTCTGTACTATTAGTGTTATGCATTGTCAGAGTCATTTTACTCCAATGATAGAAAAGGGGTCCCCTCAAGGAAAACGGTTGGAAACCACTGCACTGCACATTCTATCTTGCCAGCAGGAACAGCAATGGCTTAAATTAGGGAGTAGGCACGAGTTAGCCAGCATACACAATATCAGGGCCCTGGAGTTGATACACTGGAATGAAATGAAGCCATGATTTGTGTTCTTAGTTTCATCTGTTCAAGTGCAACATTCAAGCAGATTTAATGAAATTGTATCACATCTTACTGAATGCTGCATCTGGAAGATCTTTGTCCAACTGAGCTTCAGTGCTTCAGGATGTTCTGACCTGAAACAACATGAACACAACAGGACTCTAAGTGAATATTGGCAATATTACATATTATAACCACACGTACACCTAGAAATGTAAACATAACACACACACACACACACACACACACACACTTGAGGTGACTTTCTCTTTCTTCCACATGCATAGATACACATGCACAAAATAACTTTCAATCCACTAGTCAGTTAACATACAGATAACTGATACTGTTTTCATTTTGTCAACCAAAGCCTTGTAGCCATTTTAAATAAGCAGAGCAACAATTGTCTTACAATAATACGTTTTGGGACTTACTCAAAGAGAGAGCGAGAACGCAGAGGTCGAGAGCACTTCCGTAACTTCACAGCGTGACCACCAAGTACTCTAGAAGAGGATTCTGATGTCCTAGAGAATGCACCTCCAAATTTAGAGCCAACAAAACCAAAATCAAAACTGTGATCTTGTTCCTGAGAGTACCGAAGAGAGACGGTTGGGGTTCCCGATGTGTTAGTGGTGATAACGGAGACTGGTGATGCTTTGCTTTGACCAATCAGATTATCTGCAGACTTTGCAGATGCCGCGGAGATCATGGAAGTCTCTATTACATTTTCCTTCACTGACAGATTGACTGGATGCGCTGCAGAACCAAAATAGCGCCTGGTAGGTGGAGAAGCTCCGAAGGAAAAGCCAGGAACAGCAGAATTGAAAGCAAATGGACGAGGCAAAGAAGAACCATATGAGACAGCCTGAGCAAAAATGGTAGCACCAATGGATGCAGGAGGAGGAGGAGGAGGAGGTGGAGAAGGGTCATATGAGAAAGGCTGACCAACAATGGGACCACCAATGGATGGATGAGGAGGAGGACGAGGAGGAGGTGAAGAAGGGTCATATGACAAAAGCTGACCAACAATGGGACGAATGGATGGAGGAGGAGGAGAAGAAGGAGGAGGAGGATGATGTCGCAGCATAGCAGGGCGAGCACGATAGAGAGGGAGTGGAGGAGAAAGATAAGATGGAGCTGGAGCACCAGTGGAAGGTGAGCTGCGTAGCGGTGGAAGTGCAGGTGAATAGTGACACAGAGGAACATGAAACAATGAAACAGGAGGAGGAAGATCATTGCTCATGTGGCATATGGAGTCACGTACAGGCAACTGCAAAAGGAGAGATAAAAGACAACGTTAAGTTAAAACTCCTCGTGTGCGCTTTTTAAACACCCCCACCAGTTCACTGTACTTCACACACAAAAATCTGTTTTCAGATCAATTCTGTCAAGCAAACTTTTGGGTCTTTGTGAAGCACATGCAGGAGGAACATAAGTCTTCATCAATGACTTTACACATGAACTCATTACAGATGAGTGGAGCAGTGTGCATTGTCCTGCTTAAAAATAATAGGTGTGATGCCACACAAGGACGTGTGATGCTAATTTAGGATTGGTCAAGCTATTAAGTGATATTTATTTGTTATTTTTCCAACTGTCCATGCATTCAAATTAACAGCTTGATCTAGAAATGCATTTGTTGTCCTTCCAAAAGAGCAAATATGCAGCTGCGGTTTGTGCGTGAAGGGACAAACCTGATCCTGTACAATATCCATTTCTGGCGCCAAATAATCTTCCGCGCCATCCTCACATTGATCTTCATCCTCTTCACTCCCGCTATATTCTCCCTCTTCTTCATATGCAAACCCATCTATTGCTTCACAATCAAAATTGCAAAAGTCCTACAGCAGAGAGACAAATGCAGCTCATAAAAGTGACAACTGGCAAATCACAACAAGCTAATTTGCTCCACCCTCTCCCATGATTACACACCATTATCGAATCAAATTCTACACATTCTGCTACCATCCATTCCTCTTCACTATCTTGAGGAGAAATCCAGCTGACGTACGGGAGGAAGTCCACATCTTCCTCTGCGATCAGCTTGGGGATGTCCGTGAAGCCCTCTGTTTCTTCTGAATCCTAAAACAAGGTAGATAAGTTTGTTTATTTTAGGAGCTGCAAAATATGATGTCAAAATCAGGTTTCAGCTAGTCTCTTTAGCAATCAGTATCACAGTTAATTAGCCCTGAAACAGGACCCTGCTAGCGCCAGCTAAATGTCAGCAATGTGTCAGCAAACAGTTGAACAGCATACAGGGTTAGTAGCATACAGCTGTTAAAAAATAATAATATACATCTGATTGGTACTTGATATCGGCCAACATGCAAAGATCACATATCTTTGATATA